CTGGTATTCAGAGGGCCGTTCAGGAAAAATTAAACATGGTTCTGTGGTTCCCGCATCTGCCCCTATATCATGCAAAAGACCGTTTTCAAAAAGCTTGTCACGCCCTGAAAGACCTTCCTGGTAAGCGCTATATCTGAGTACACTTACAATATATTATAGAAGAAAATTAGAATGAAGATCGTACAGGTTACGGTATTTTCTCCCAAATAAACTAACGAATAACACGACACTGAAGGGATGAAGAACTAAGTCTGGACGGAACTTGAGCGGAAATTTATTCTTGAATCTGTAAAAGGTAGCCAAGCCGCTTGTCGAGACTTGCTCCTGACACTTTCTCATTACCTTCCTAGGAAAAAGGGATTGCCCTCTGTCGAATATCTTGTAAACGTCTGTAACAGCTAACATGAGAAAATATTGCGAGAATGCACGCTATAAAACTCTGGAAGGTGAATGCATAGAGCACTACGATCCAAGTTCAATGCTTTATACCACTGCCTTCATCCTAAACTTCGACAGTATCGAACGCCGATACCTTCTCCACCCCACAAATCAACAGCGGTGTGCCCCCGAATAAATCAGCTCCCTTATGACAAGAACCCTTCCACTCTCAATCAACCGTTCGCGCGAGTGGTTTTTTGCGTTAATTCAAGGAATGGGCAAAACCAGCAGGGGAGGGGGGAGGAGTGTACAGGGTGGCCGAAAAGTATAGGACGCCATGTTTTTGTGTGTAAAAGCCAAGAAAGAGACTCGATCAGGAAACCGACTTCACACAAAGATAGAGTTAAGCTATTTGATCACTTGTGCAGAAGGTGCTTTGAATTTGACGACTCTGCTTTGAGAGAGGCCTTCTGACGTCCAACGACAAAATCAGCAGTGCGCCGCAGGTAGCCAACGGCGATGTCGTCCCACCTCTTCTGAAGCGCTAACTTCAGAGCACCCACCGAGCTGGAGAAGTCTTATGAGGTCTTGCTCTACAACATCCTCACATAGAGGAGTCCATCGGGTTAAGGGCCTGAGAGGAAGAAGGTCACAATTCCTTGCTCCAGTGGCCCGGGAAGTGAGCGCCCAGGATGGCTTTGGTCGATTTGAACGCGTATTAGGGAGCCCAGCTTCATTGAAGAGCAAACGATCATTGAGCAAAATGCTCGTAAATCCAGAACAACATACCGTACCTCATTAAAGTCTTTTGCAAGACCTTCGAGTTAATTTTAACATTTGTGGAAGATGAACTCCAATGGAGCTGCACTTTTGGATGTTACCCCGTCACAAACTACCACACCTTCGGGAGAAAGTCTGTTGTAAACTAGACGTTATCTAGGAGACTTGCACT